TTCCGACTGTGCTAGAACAATTAGAAAATTCTTGGCCTCTTGGATTTCACTTTCGATTAAACCAAACGACTGCGAATGCTGCCTTAGCATTCGGTAGGGCCGCTTGATGTATTTGTAGAGCAATGTGCCACCCAAATGGGAGATGCTTCTCCTCGACGAATTCGCCTGAATGGGCGTCGCCGGTTATCTGACTCATGTTGGAGCAGACGGTCATACTCATATTGGAGAAAATTGTGACCATTCGGCCTCTATGCGTTTTTCTTAATATCCGGCCATTGGCCTTAAAATGATTTAAGCAAATATTCGTTAAGTGTTTAACATAATGCAGTAAGAATTTCGTAGGAACGACTGCTCTAGAGTAGTCGGTTCCTTCATAAAGGTTGGGGCGTCTGTTATTGGGACAGACTCTACCCAAATACATTGGCCGTCTGTATTTTGTACAGGCGATATTTAAAATAAAAATAAAAGTTGAAAAATGAAAGCATATTCTCATTAGCAAAGTTTGAAGTGACAAAATTTGAGGTATTTACATTTGTACTTAGAAATGGTACTTTTTCAAGTTGTCCACATGCCAAGTTCTATGCACCTACCTGCCTTCTGGTTCTTCCAGGCGCTAGGTGCCGTCTCTTACTCCCTCATATATTCGCTAGGGACCTTCCCAATTTGGGGTCAACTTTCCCTGCTCATTCGCCCTACCGATTGCCTCCATTTTCCGTAGCACAAAGTCCCCCACTTTGAGAGAACGCTTGTGTACTCTTTTGTTGTAAGCCGGTGTCATTCTCAGACGGTAAATCTCATGGCGCAAGGTGGCATTGCCTCTTCGCTCTGGAAGTGAGTCCAATGCTAGCCGCATGGCCTCCCAGTTTGCTTCTTCGTCATATAACATGACTCGAAGAGTCGGCTCATAGTGTTCAATGGGTAGGACAGCTTCTTCACCATACACCATGAGGACCGGGGTTTCTCTAGTCGCCCCTTTAACAGTCGTTCTGATGGACCAGAGGACGTGTGGTAGTTCATCCGCCCAAAGGCCACCAGCCTGTTCAATTTTCTTTTTAATCCCGTCGGAGATTAGCTTACTGAAGGCTTCAACCTGGCCGTTTGCTTGAGGGCGGCCGACTGATACAAAGAGGCTTGAGACCCCTTGCTCTCCCAGCCAAGTCTTGAGTTGAGGCCTCTCAAATTGAGGACCATTGTCAAAAACCATAGACATGGGCACCCCGAAACGAGTGATAATATTCCTCAAGATGAAGGAAATGACATCTTTTGTCTTAATGTTTTTTACCGCCTCCACCTCTACCCACTTGGTAAAGTAATCCACACCTACCAATATGTAGCGCTTGCCGCCTGGGGCCGCGGTGTAAGGCCCAAGTATGTCCATGCCCCATTTGGCAAAGGGAATTGGGCTGTGGATGGCCGTGAGGTCCGTCGCCAGACGATGGATGAGTCTGCCAAACTTTTGACACTTGTCACATTTTTTGACCATTTCCATAGCGTCCGACTCCAGAGTTGGCCAGAAAAAGAGCCGCCTGGCCTTGGCAGCTAAAAACCTGCCGCCTATGTGGGAGGCGCAGAAACCCGCATGCAAATCTTCGAGGACCTCTCTACCCTTTTCTAGGGTAACACACTTCAATAGGGGTTTCAAGAAACCAGCTTTGAAAAGTTCTCCTTGTCTCAGCTCGAAGTTTGCCGCTTTCTTTTTTAGAACAGCGGCCTCCCGAGGTAAATCAGGGAGTGTGCCGTCTGCAAGATAAGCCCGGATGCTGTCCATCCAGGTAGAGCTTCGGTCGAGAATTCCAATAGGGTCTTCATTAGATATACTTCTTTTTTCCATGACCTCCTAGAAGACCGACCGAGGCGTTTCACAAGAGGCGGATGATGCTAGTTTTGACAGAGCATCCGCCTCATTATTTGACGACCTGGGCACCTGAGTTAACTGAAACTCCTCAAGTGTACCAATTTTACATTTGACCGCCTACAAATATTTTATCATGGCCGGATGAGTGGCCTCGTACGTCCCATTAACCTGGAATACGACTAATTGAGAATCAGAGCAGGCGGCTATCTTCCTTGCCCCTGCCGCCTTGCAATACCAAATGCCGGCCAGCAGGGCCTCATGCTCGGCCTCATTGTTCGAGACCTGGAACTTGAAATGTAGTGCATATTCGTACTTGTCTCCCTCAGGAGATTGACAGATAATCCCTGCACCATAGCCGTTCACAGTGGAGCTCCCATCCACACACAGTTTCAAACCTGGTCTGTATTGTCCGGTACAACCGGCCTTGTCATTTTGACAATAAAGTCGGCGAATGCTTGCCCCTTTATTGCCTTCCTTGGTTCGAAAGTGATTTCTAATCCTTGCATTTAAATAGCACATTTAAGCATTCGTCCAGAAGACTCCAAGGTAGTGAGTGGCCGTTTGATCGGTTGGTCAGTATAGACTTCTACCGCATGCGCCAAGAAGTAGGGTTTTAGTTTCTTGATGGCCGGGTACAGGGCAAGGCCAAATTTCTCAACCATGGGGTACCAAAGCTCTGCGTTCCTCAGAACATGGCTAATAAAAAACACCGGGAGCTGAGTGCCGTCACTTTCAACTAAGAGAACGGCACTGAGGGCATGGTCAGAGACGGCTAAATGCATGAAGAGCTTCTCTTTGGGCAAAGGGCTGACAAGCCTCGGCAAAGAGTGCAAATGAGTTTTCAGTCTTTGAAAGGCCGCCTCTACATCATCCCCCCATTCAATGTTGGTCTTCTTTTTTATTTCTTGGAAGAAGTAGAGACACTTGTCGCCTGACCGACTGAGGAATCTCCCCAAGGCCGCAAGACAACCTGTTAGCTTTTGCACTTCCTTCACAGTACGGGGCGACTGCATGTCGTCGATTACCGCCTGTATTTTCTCAGGGTTGGCGTTTATTCCCCTTTGGTCAATCAAAAATCTAAGAAACTTCCCAGACTCAACACCAAAGACACACTTTTTGGGTTTTGCATGACCTTGTGCCGCCTGAGTGTGGCGAATGTTTCTCGGAGATCAACAAGATGATCCGCCTTTTGTTTGGATTTGACTATCATGTCATCAATGTACGCCTCTACATTCCTTCCGATTTGATTAATGAAGACCGTATTAATCATTCATTGGAAAGTAGCAGGCGCATTCTTCAAACCAAATGGCATCACCGTATAACAGAACAACCCCTAATCAGTGACGAATACCGTCTTTTCTTGATCTTTTTTCCACAGGGGGATCTGATGGAAACCTGAATAGGCGTCCATAAAGCTCATCAAGGCATGTCCGCCTGTTGAGTCGACCAGACTGTCGATCTTGGGCAATGGATAACTATACTTTGGACATGCCTTGTTGAGGGCTGTGTAGTCAACACATATCCGCCAAGTTCCATTCGGCTTTTTTACTAACACAATGTTAGCTACCCATTTAGGGAAATTGCACGGCCGAATGAACTTGGCATCCAGCAGCTTTTTTACTTTGGCAGCAGCCGCCTGACTTCTTTCTTCGCCGTGTTTTATTTTCTTTTGCCGGATGGGCTTCTTTTTAGGATCCACGACAAGTTTGTGGACAGCAAGATCCAGGCTGATGCCTGGCATCTCCTCCACTTCAAAGGCAAAGATGTCTTTGAATTCTCTCAGCAGCTGATGAAGGCTTTCACCTAGCTCTGCAAGTGCAGCCGTCCCCGCCTTAACCGTCCGCTCTGGGCGGCTGTCGTCCAGAGGGATATCGATGTGCTCACCAGCAGGTTGGGGAAGGAGATCATCCGACCGTTCCCCGGTCAGTGATTCCTATTGTTTTTCTTGTTTGACCACCACCAGCGGATCAGTCTTTCTTTTCTTTCCAGCTGGTGGGGCCGACTGTTCTTCCTTGACATCGTCGAGGTCGATCGTTTTCTTGCCCCGACCGGATGCTACGACTGCGGGCTTGACGTCCGAGAGGTAATACTCTCGAGCTGTCTTTTGGTCCCCATTAAGGGAACCGACTGTTCCATCATCCTTCTCATACTTTGAGTAGCATAAGTGCAGGTGATGCAAGTCTAAGCATGGAGAACTTCGAAGATTTGCTTATCATGCATCAAGATAGCTTGTCCCTAAACATTGATTCAAGCCAAGCATTGCATGGACACTTTCTTGGATATCAAAGAAAAGCCACGGTTTGCTTAGTGGTTTTTCTTGGAGTCTAGTTCACTTTCTTGAACTTTCTTGAATTTTCTTTACTTAGATTTTGCTTACAAGTTTTTACCTTTCACTTGAAAGGGTTTTTCTTGGTTCAAGCATTAGGATCTTTAATCTTTGTTTAGTTGCTTTTAAATCAGTTAGTTAGCAAAATAAATCAGTTTAGGCGTGTGCTTGTGCTCCAAGGTGCTTGCTCTTCAAGCAAGTTAGAATTCTAGTTTAATTAGGATTGAATTAGGAACTTGTCCTAATCTTCCTAGGTAAACTAAGTCTATAAAAAGGGCTGTAAAACACACGAATGACAGAGAGATTAATATTCAGATTTATTTCTTAAGTACTTGAGTTTTTGTTGATTGTGATCAATTGTTGTTTTGCTTGTTTTAGTTAAAACATTCGTTTGGATTGATTAATTAGGTGGATTCTTAATTGATTAATCTTAGTTTTTGTTTAATTCTTGGTGGATTTCCTGTATAGAATTAGACTTAAACAAATCCCTTGTGTTTTGTTGATTTTCGGATCAATAATTCACATCATCTTTGGTATCAGAGCAGGTTTGCGCAACTTCGGTAAAAATTAAGCTGGGAACAATTGGCTGGGAATTTTTACGTGATTATTTTTTCATTGAACTATAAAAACGTCCAGAAATCACCATATAAAATTTCATAATTTTTAGTTGAGTAACGCGCTCTACACAGCCTCAAACGTGTGGTATTTGTGCACTGATTTGCGATTGGGAGTCCGGTTTTTGTGTTGCCTAGTTTTCCTTCAAGATTCGATCTTTTAATCAAGATTTTTGCATGAACTGACTTGGTTTGTTTAGTTATCATGAGTGACGAGGAGGTTCCACAGGTTCCAAGGGGATTAACCTTAGAACAGGCTCAAAATCTTAGAAGAGATAGGCGAATTGACGAGTTGGCAGCAAGGATGGATGAGATATTAAAAAGGCTTGATACTCTTGCTGGAGATTCTTCAAGGTAAGGGAATTCTAACCCTAATTCTGGTTCAAGTGAGGAAGAACAACCAAGGAGGAACCCAAGGAGGCCACGAAATAATTATTCTTCAAGTGATGAATCACCAAGGCCTAGGAGAAGAGATAGACTGAAGGATGATGATAGGAACCTTAGATTAGATCTTCCCGAATTCAATGGGAGTATGAATGAACCTGAAAAATACTTTGAGTGGATTAGAAGGGCCGAGACACTCTTTGATTACAAGGAGTATGATGAAAGGAAAAGATGCAAATTGGCTGAATTAAAACTGACCGGTTATGTTAGTCTTTGGTATGATAATCTAAAGAAGAAGAGGCATAAGGAGGGGCGTGCAAGAATCTCAACTTGGGAACAACTCAAGAAGCACATGAAAAAAAAGGTTCGTACCTAGTGATTATATTCAAGATGTTTATCTTAAGATGCAACTTTTTAAACAAATTCTATGACTGTTGAGAATTATATTGGTCAATTTGAAAAGTTATGCATGCTATGTGGCTTAGAGGAGATTGTTGAGCATAAGATTGATAGATTTATTTCGGGGTTGAATGATAATATTGCTGAAAAAGTTGAATTGCAACAATATTGGTCCTTTGATGATGTTTGCAAGGTAGCTTTGAAAGTTGAAAAACAGATAAAGGGGAAGAAAGAGACGTACACTAAGCCCTTTGTGAAAGGTTTCACTTAACCTTTTGAGAGGAACAGCTTGGAGAAAAGTGGTTCTAGTTCCAACTACAAGGAGACTAAATCAAAATTTGAAGCTCCTAAAAAGCTTGTTGAAGATAAGAAGTGCTTCAAGTGTGGTAGTGTTGGTCACATTGCAACTAATTGTCCATCAAAAAGAGTAATGACTGCTCAAGAGTGGGAGAAAGAACAAGATAAGTGTGAGCAAGGTAGTGACTATGTAGAAAAGAACGAAGAGGAAAACGTTGAAGAAGAGGAGGGGCATATTGACGAAATTGATCCCGAGACTCATGGTCAAAGTTTGGTTCTAAGAAGGGCGCTACACTCTAAAACCGTACCTATGGAAAACAATCAAAGGGAGAAAATCTTTCTTACAAGGTGCAAGGTAGAAGATAGGTTGTGTGACATGATCATAGACACGGGGAGTTGCACTAATGTGGTATCTACTACTTTGGTAGACAAATTGAAGTGGCCAACTACTGAACATCCAAGCCCTTATAAGCTTCATTGGCTTAATAATTCGAGTGATGTTAAGGTAACTAAACAAGCCTTAATCTCCTTTTCAATTGGTAAATTTCATGATAAAGTTTTGTGTGATGTTTGTCCTATGGATGCTTGTCATATAATATTAGGCCGTCCTTGGAAATATGATAGATTTGTGAAGTTTTATGGAAGGACTAATGTGTATGTTGTGAGAAAAGGAGAAAAAGAGAGACCGGTTGCTTTAAAACCTTTGATAAGCAACAAGTCTTCTAATGTTACCTCTAATTCGAAGAGTTCTTTTTTGATTAGTGAGAGGGAATTAGAAAAAGAGATTTGCAGCAACAATGTGGTATATATACTTGTTTCTAATGAGATTCGAATTGATCAAAATAAACAAGCAAAGAGGCCGTATGAATTGGAATCTGTTTTAGAAGAATTCAAGGATGTCTTTCTTAAGGAATTACCTCCGGGACTACCTCCTATTCGTGGGATAGAGCATAAAATTGACTTAATTCCGGGAGCACCATTACCTAATAAGGCAGCCTATAGAAGTAATCCGGAAGAAACGAAGGAGATGCAAAGGCAAATTGAAGAGATTATGGCTAGAGGATATGTGAGGGAAAGTATGAGCCCTTGTGCCGTGCCTACTTTACTTGTCCCAAAGAAAGATGGGAGTTGGCGCATGTGTATTGATAGTAGGAGTGTGAATAACATCACTATCAAATACCGATTTCCTATTCCAAGGTTAGATGATCTACTTGATGAACTTCATGGTTCAAGGTTGTTTTCTAAGATTGATCTTATGAGTGGTTATCATCAAATTCAAATGAGAGAAGGAGATGAGTGGAAGACAGCATTCAAGACTAAGTTAGGGTTGTATGAATGGTTGGTGATGCCGTTTGGACTCACTAATGCACCTAGCACTTTCATGAGGTTGATGCATGAGGTACTTAAACCTTTCCTTGGCAAGTTTGTTGTTGTTTATTTAGATGATATTCTGATATACTCTAAAAATTTGCATGATCATCTAAATCATCTAACAAGTGTGTTTGAAGTGTTAAGAGAGAAGAAACTCTATGCTAAGCTTGAAAAATGCTACTTCTTAGTTCCTAGTGTTACTTTTCTTGGTTATGTTGTATCAAAAGATGGAGTTTCAGTTGATCATTCGAAAGTAGAGGCTATTAAAACTTGGCCTATTCCTACTAATATGAGTGAAGTAAGGTCTTTTCATGGTCTAGCTTCGTTCTATAGAAGATTTGTCAAGAATTTCTCATGTATTGTGGCGCCTATGACCGAATGTTTGAAGAAGGACAAGGGTAAATTTGAATGGACTAAAGAAGCTCAAAGTGCGTTTGAGTTGGTTAAAAAGAAGCTATGTGAAGCACCTATACTTGCGTTACCAGATTTCTCAAGTCCTTTTGAAGTTGAAATCGATGCTAGTGGAGTTGGAATTGGAGCAGTTTTACTCCAAAAAACGAGGCCTATTGCATATTTCAGTGAGAAATTAGTAGGAGCTCGATTGAACTATTCTACTTATGATAAAGAGTTCTATGCCATTGTTAGAGCTTTAGATCATTGGAGTCATTATCTCTGACATAATCACTTTGTGTTGCATTCTGATCATGAAGCATTGAAGTTCATACATGGACAACAAAAGCTCAATCCTAGACATGCTACGTGGGTTGAATTTTTACAATCATTTAATTTTTCTTCAAGGTACAAAGAAGGGAAATCGAATGTTGTGGCTGATGCATTATCTAGAAGATACACTTTGATTGGAATTCTAAATAGCAAGCTACTTGGTTTTGAATTAATCAAAGAATACTACAGAGGTGATGATGATTTTGCTACATTGATTGAAGAGTGTTCTAAAGGAGCTGTGGGTTCTTATTTGCTGCAAGATGGTTTTCTTTTCAAAGGAAATCGACTTTGTCTTCCTAAGTGTTCTATTAGAGAGCTAGTTGTTAGAGAAGCTCATGGGGGAGGAATTGCTGGTCACTTTGGCATTACAAAGACCTTGAGTATGTTACAAGAACACTTCTATTGGCCTAAGATGCTCACGGATGTGCAACTAGTTATTTCTAGGTGTGCAACTTGTCAAAAAGCGAAGGCTACTTTTCATCAACGCTTGTATACTCCTTTACCTGTTCCAGATTCACCTTGGGAAGATATTTCTGTGGATTTTATTGTGGGATTGCCAAGAACACAACGGGGGAAAGACTCTATTATGGTTTTTGTGGATAGGTTCTCTAAGATGGCTCATTTTGTTCCTTGTCACAAAGTGGATGATGCTATGAAAGTGGCGGAATTATACTTCAAGGAGATTGTTAGATTGCATGGAATTCCAAAAACTATTGTGAGTGATCGAGATACAAAGTTCATGAGTTTCTTTTGGAAGTCTTTAAGGAAGCTTGTGGGAACTAAATTACTCTTTAGTACATCTTACCATCCACAAACTGATGGACAAACCGAGGTTACTAATCGTACTCTTGGTGCGCTTTTGCGTGGGTTAGTGAGTAAGACACAAAAGGATTGGGACATCAAGTTAGCTCATGCGGAGTTTGCTTATAATAGATCACCTACATATGCTACCAAACATAGTCCTTTTGAGGTAGTCTATGTAGTCAATCCGAAACTTCCAATTGATCTTGTTCCATTTCCAAAGGGTGAGTTAATTCACAAAGATGCCGAGTCTAAGTTGAAGAGTATGCTGAAATTACATGCTCAAGTTCGAACAAGAATAGAGAAAGTAAATGACATGTACAAAGCTAGAGCAAACAAGCATAGAGAGCAACAAGGTTACAATGTTGGAGACTTGGTATGGTTACATTTGAGAAAGGAAAGATTTCCAGGAAAACGCAAGAATAAGTTGATTCCTAGAAGTGAAGGTCCTTTCAAGATTATTGAGAAGATCAATGACAATGCTTATAAGTTAGAACTTCCGGGAGAATATGGAGTTAGTGCTACATTCAATGTTGGCGATTTGGCTAAGTATATTCCTGATGAAGAACTTCGAGATTTGAGGACAAATTCTTTCGAAGAAGAGGAGGATGATGCAAGTTTAAGCATGGAGAACTTCGAAGATTTGCTTATCATGCATCAAAATAGCTTGTCCCTAAACATTGATTCAAGCCAAGCATTGCATGGACACTTTCTTGGATATCAAAGCAAAGCCACGGTTTGCTTAGTGGTTTTTCTTGGAGTCTAGTTCACTTTCTTGAACTTTCTTGAATTTTCTTTACTTAGATTTTGCTTTCAAGTTTTTACCTTTCACTTGAAAGGGTTTTTCTTGGTTCAAGCATTAGGATCTTTAATCTTTATTTAGTTGCTTTTAAAATCAGTTAGTTAGCAAAATAAATCAATTTAGGCGTGTGCTTGTTGATTTTCGGATCAATAATTCACATGAGCAGGGATGATGACGGACTTACACTCATTAAGAGTGGGACGGCCAAAGATGAGGTTGTAAGGTGTGAGCTCTTCAACTACTAGGAAATGGATGGTCATGTGCGAAACGTCTCCCCTGCTTCCCAGGCGGACAGGTAAGTTAATGCATCCGACTAGGTGCACAAGTCCTCCCCCAAACCCAACAAGGGTGTGGGAGACCTCTATCATGCTATCCGGTTTGTACTTGAGATTGGATAAGCATTTGAGGCTGATGAGGTCAGAGGAGCTTCTTGTGTCAATCAGAATTCAGCCAACCAGCTGGTTGGCAACCTTGCATTCAATGACAACAGGGTCATCATACGGCCGACGGACTTTGCATCTATCCTGTTCAGTGATGACAACTTTATGGAAGGCGGATGTGCCTGCTGCATCCCCTTCCTCAACAGAGTTGACCATTTTCCTTAGATGGTCCTTGGTGACCCGAATGGTCGGGCCACCACCGGCAAAGCCGCCGGCTATGGTGTATACCGGTTCTTCATCAGTTTCGGCACTCACAGCAGGCTAGGGAGTCTTTTTCTTGGATTGCCCTTAATTTGCCTTTGAAGTCACTTTGGACTTCACATAGGACTTCAGCTGTCCTTTGTCGGCCAGACGGTCGATTTCCCGCTTGAGACTAAAGCAGTCGTTCGTGTCATGGCCAACATCCTCATGGAAATGGCAATGCTTGTTCTTGTTCCGATTTTCAGCGGAACCTTTCATAGGAGTCGGCTTCTCAAGAGTCAGCCGATCCTTAATTTCCAAGAGGATGGAGCAGCAGTCCTTGTGTAATTCGTACCTTAAGATGTACGGTTTCCACTCTTTTTTCTTCTTCTGGGCCGGTTGATCAGAGTTATAAATGACCCATACTTGCTTTTTGGTTTTGCTCTCTTCTTGCTTTGGAGCCGGCTGAGCAGGCCGACTATCTTTCTGCCGGTCAGACTTCTTATGGTCCGACTGCTTATTGGAGGAGTAGAGTTCGATCGCCTGTATATAGGCTTCCGCCTCTCGCGAGGCTCCTTGCAGAGTAAAGATTTGTTTGCAGACTTGTTCGTACTTAAAAGTAGACCCATCCTTCAGACCCTTAAAGAAGTATGTGAAAGCAACCTCATCAGACAACCCATGAATCTGGATTCGGACCAGATTGAACCGCCTCGCATAGGAACGCAAGCCTTCTCTATCTCCCTGCTGTACATTGCCCAAGTCAAGACTTTTCTTTTTGGCAGGGATGTTCATAGAGAATTTTGAAGCAAACAAGAACGCAAGCATCTTGAAGCTATTTATGCAACCAGCCTTCTCATCAGCAAGCGTCTTCAGGGTGGCTGGAAAGCAACGACACCATGTGTTGTAGCCAAGACTAACAACTTGGTTATGGACATTTCTTTGGTTCAAGACGTAGCATCATGTATTGGTGCTATGCATTCTATCCATGGGCAGCAAGATATTCAATCCCTTGAATTTCTTGTTGTTCTTATTAACTAGTTTATTCTAGTTCTTTTTATGCTTTGAATAAATTGTAAACTTTAGTCATTTTAAGTTTTCAAATTAGTTATATTTTTTGTTAGTTCTTTTAGCTGATTTTAGTTCAAAAAATATTGTCACATTCACACAAAAGTACAAGTGCAAAGATACATCAAAATGGCAGCCATTTAAGCTTGGAATCCGAAATTCTTTTACAAGGAATTTCAAAGCTTTGACTTGGGAGTTACAATCAGTTTTCAAAGAGGAATTACAAGCCATTACAAGCCTTAACTTCAGCCTTTAAGTGGCCGTTGATATCAGTCAACATTGGAGCATCTTAAGCCTTAATTTCAGCCTTCAATTGGCTGTTTAATTCAGTCAGCTTTTGGAGCAACTAAAGGGCGTCCAAGTACACCCTTGTCCACATACATTCAAGATAATTTTAAGGCTTGAACCAAGGAGGAGTTACACTTCTTTGTTGTTTGAATTTGGGCGTGAATATTGGAGGAAATACATCTCCAACTTGCTGCTTGGATGGGCGTGAATTAAGGGGAGTTACACTCTCTTAATTCTGATTTTATTTCAGCCTTAATTTGGAGGTTATAAGCCACCATTTTCTCTTTGATGTATCTAGTTAAATTAGGATTCTTTTATTAATGTATCTAGACAACAAAAAGCCAATTTGTACTTAGCTTTAGCTTAGGCGTGTAATAAGTGAGCTGAACAGCCACTTAAGATAGCTTGTACTTAAGGATGCTTGTTTACTATAAATAGCAAGCAAATGTGAATGAAAAAATAAGATTATTTAAATAAAAAAACTTGTCTTACATTCGTTTCTTGGATTAGAAACAAAACCTTGAAATTCTTGGATTTGGAATTTCATTTCCTTTGCTTAGTTAGCTAGTTTAGGCTACTAGTTGGCTTG